GAGAGAGAGAGAGAGAGAGAGAGAGAGAGAGAGAGAGAGAGACAGAGACAGAGAGAGCGAAAGAGGGGGAGAGAGAGCGAAAGAGGGGGAGAGAGCGAGATTTCAGGACATGAACCACTCACTCTTCTTCGAACATAACTTGCGTGAAGTTCGGCCCCAGGGCCCATCATTAGCGGGACACGCTTATACACCCCGCCCCGCCCCGCCCCGATACCAATAAGCACATACCACATAGACCTGCACTGTTCAGAGAGAAAGCTCTGATTTTCACTCTTAGGGAATGTGAAACAACAACATTCCATTCGAACCCTAAATACTACTCTTTTCCTGTTTACCAATTTTCATTTAAACGTACTTCTGTTTGTGATTCTGGCAGTGGTGTGCCTGGTGGTGTCCGGGACCTTCGGCGTCGGGCTGAGCTTTGCTGACTCGTCCGCCCTGGTGCTGGGGCTCTCCAGCGTTAGCGTGGCCATCAACTCCATGGGCATCGGGCACATATCGAGCATCGTGGTGGAGCTCTTCCCCACGCACCTCAGGTGAGCGGGCCGCGCCGCGGCGGCAGGCAACCCATCCTACTCCTGCCAGCCTACCAGCCCGGTGCACTCCGGTACAGTACAGAACAGAGCGAGCGCCACGGGCCTGAGTGTGTCTGCCACCCTCTTCCGCAGGGCGATGGCCGTCAGCCTGCACCTCATGGCTGGCCGCACGGGCTCCATCGCCGGCAACCTCATCTTCGGCCTGCTGCTCTCGACCAACTGCGCGTTCGCCTTCTACGCCATCGGCGGCGCACTCCTCAGTAAGTAGACACCTTTTTACGGTGCATGCCCGATCGAAACGAAGGGGATTTGATCGTGATCGTGAAAGGCATCGGCGTCCGTCTCCCGTCTCTGGCGGGAAACCACAGAAACGAAACGCCGCGACCCGGAGTCTCTCGTCCTGACGCTGCGTTGTGTTGCCAGCTTGCGCCGTGCTGAGCTGCCTCCTGCCCGCCAGAGGGAAGTACGCCGCCTAGGTCGTCCCGGCCGCGGCCGCCAGCGCCGACTAGAAACTTGAGAGGACGCCGCGTTGCGACTCCGTCCGTGACGCGTGATGGCCCTGATGATGGTCTCGGGCCCTGCGGCCCACGTCATGTCGTGAAGGTCCTGCGGCCGGCAACAATGCCAGCGACTGCTACGATATCGCCCCAATATAGGAAATTTAATTGAGGAGTTTGTCGGTCAATGATCTAAGACTTCACAATAATATTATGCGTATTTTTCAGTCCCCGCGAGTGTGCTGGGTGCTACTAGTCGTTACGTAATATTATTGTGTTCAACTGTTTGTCTCGTTTGTCGTTGGGGCTAGTGGGTGACGACGAGTGTGCTGCGTACAGAATGGGTACGCAGAAAGACAAAGGTTTATAATTTTCACGCGCTGACTGTGATCAAACCAGTGTAATGGTTTATGTTTGTAACTCGTTTAAGGTAGTAAAACTAAATTAATGCCTATACGTTCTGTTTTATTTTAAAAATCAAGGCGTACCGTGCCTCGTACTGTCGTATAAAAGAAAACACTTAAAATAGATTGTAAAGAATCTCGACTTTGACCCATCATCCTCACAGACGAACCAGGATCTCGTCGAGAGGCTTCCTCCGGAGGTCGGGCACCGTGGCGTCCGGGGCGGGGTAGCCGACGGGCAGCAGCAGCGTGAGCTTCTCGTTGGCGGGGCGGCCCAGCAGCGCGCGCAGCGCAGGCCCGCAGTTCAGCGGGGTGCTCGTGAGCGTGACCAGCCCTGCGTACTGCAACAGGAAGAGGTTGTCGGGAATGTCAGGGGTCAGGGGCTGTGTTGTCAGCGGGACAAACACCCTGAGATAAACGACTCACGTGGATGGCGGTGATGAGGATACCGCTGGCGATGGCCACGGACAGCTCGTTGTAGTAGTGGTTGCGGCGGCTGCCGTCCTCCTTGAGCGAGTACTGCTGCTTGAACACCATGATGAGGTGCGGCGCGTCCGTCAGGTAGGCCTTCTCCCAGTTGGTGCGGAGCGGCTTGAGGTCGGTGGTCCACTGGTCACCTATCGGTGCACAACGACGACACTTTGCACCTGGCGATATGGGCCAACTTCATCGCCGCGAGAGGGGACCTCGCGCCAGGACTTTGCTTACCCATGCGCTGCGTGTAGTTGATGAGCTCCTCCTGCTCCACGATCTCGCGCACCTGCTCCTTCAGGTCGTCCGTGGACACCACGACGTATGTCCAGGGCTCGGTGTGGGCGCCGCTGGGCGCCGTCCCTGTGGACGTTTCGGATGAATTAATAAACCTTCTAGGTTTTCTACGTGACGGTGCGTGACGGCGACGGTGCGACGCTCACCTGCCGTGCGCACGAGGTCCTCGATGACGGCCATGGGCACGGGGTCGCTGCTGAAGGCGCGCACGGTCCGCCGCCGGTCCATGACGCTGTAGAAATCGCGGGCGCGCGCCGCCATCTCCTCCTCGGACAAGCGCTCGAAGTCCAGCGGCACGTGCTCGAGGTCGGCGGGCAGCGAGGGCGCGGGGCCGTCATCGCCGTCCTCGGGGCAGTCGGCGTCCTCGTCGGGGAGCTCGGCGGCTGCACAGTCACGTTGATGAGCTTCAGGGTACGTCCATTCGCTACCACGCAAGAACGACTGCTCGGGTTTCTCGCAGCCCTTCCGTTTCCCGCCGTTTTGAGCGCGAGGGCAATTTCAAGCGGGAATTGAAATGGCCCAAAAGAAAGGTCATATGTGGTGACAAAGGAGTGGAGTGATAGAACCGGATATGAGAGCAGAGGGTGCAAGCCCCCTGTGCGCGATGGGAGTGCTTTGGCCCACCGCGGGCAGCCTTGCCTACCCCTCGGGTGCCCGCGCCGCGCGCCCCGCACATTAGAGCAGCTGTGCCCTCGGCAGGGACTCCCACGCCTATGGCCGTCGCTCACGCACCGCGCACCCCCTCACCCTCCGCCATATACCTTTGGCCTCCCTTTCTATTCCTCCATCGTGGAGCTGAGACGATTAGGCAGGCGGCTAGTAGTTGTCCATTTGGAGGTTGACAACAAGAATGTGCAAAGTATAGATTGGATCGGCGAAAGAGAGAGAGAGAGGGGGGGGGGGCGCAACAAGACGACAGCAACGGCAACTTTTCGCGCTGATTTCGCGGAGCGGACCGCGCGAACATGGGGGCCAAGGAGGACAGGTCGTGTGCTCGCCTAGTAGTAGGCATCCATCATATGGAGGAGCGGGAGCGGCGAGAGAGAGGGGGACAGGCTGACACAAACCAGCGGGAGAGAAACAGAGCAGAGGAGGTCCATTTACAGATGCACCAGGCTGCAGAAGGATGACACGCTTGCGCCCCGCCCTGCGAGACCAGATGCTCTCCTGATTGGCATTGGTCTTGCAGCACGAGGACGGGCCCAAACAACAACAGCGGACCAAGAAACCGGTCCGCCAGTCGGCCGGGCAGGACCGGGTACCCGCGTATGTTCGGATTTACTGGCGTCATTGCGTTTTTCGCGAGTGGGAAGTGGGTCAAACAATCATTCATCGCGTTCGGCAGATGAAATCTGCTTGGAAGTAGCCCATCGATCGATCTCAGCCCAACGCCCCGAGGACAGTTACATAAGACAGGCGGACTTACCCTGGTCGGGGTTGAGGTACACGCGGCGCTGCTTGCCCGTGCGCAGCGCGGAGACGTAGCTCGGCGCGATGGTGAGGCGCGCCGTCACGAAGCACAAGATGCCCGCCAGGATGTAGAGCCAGTTGGCGGCCAGGAACGGCATAAACGCCAGCACCATGGCTGTCGGCAGATCGTTAGAGGTTAGAGGTGAGAGCTTTGGCAAACATTTGGCGTGCAGAGAGCGTAGTCCTTCCTGAACATTTGTTCCTTTCCTTTATTTTTAGGCCGGGCGATGGAGACGCTTTTCTTTGCTATTCGAGCTGTGGCTCTCGAGCGCTCACCTGTCTCATCAAGGGGCTTTTGCAGGTCTTGAGCCCTCTATCTATGCTGTCCATTTCTCGCTCTCCAATATCCGCTGCTTCAATCCGAATGAAAAACGTGCGCAGGCGAACTATGAAGGCCGTTGCCGGCCATTGCCACTCCTCTCTATCTTGGGTAGGGCTAGTGATACACTTGTGCGCCCGGGCCACCGGCCGGGTAGACCTCACGGCCTTGGCCGTGTGTGCTCTGGGCCGGCCGTGGGCTCACCGAGCCTCGAACCGAGCTCTGCTCTGCCGGGGAAATAAACAGTTTGGTGCGCTCAGCTCGTGCCGTCTAGCCACACGTTTACTTTTACCGTCAGCAGAGTTGAGCCCCGAGAAGAAAGAAACAGCTGTGTTGTGTCGTGTCGTGAACACGAAAAGGACGGAAAACGTTTTCCGAAGCAAGGGGAAGAAGGAAATGTGATAAAGTCACTTGAAAACAGATTTTAAAACCGTTTCGGTGACATTTTTAAAACGTCGATCAGAGGCACTTTGCAGTGCTGTCCCTCACCTGTGCCGGAGTTCTCTAATGAATGTCGAGTGCTTTCGGAAAGCTGGCAGCTCCCTTTGATGGCTCTATCACTCTTGGACGAGGAGGGCACAGTGGCGCGCAGAACGCCTGCTCGCCACCACGCCAGGAACACTACTGTGCAGCCGCACGGGCCAACTGCAACGCGGCTCCCCTGTTCCAGGTCGCCGTGCCACGCCACGCCAGCCACCCGGTGGTCAGCCCCCACTCGGGTGGCGGTGTGTGGGTAGCGTGGCCTACACGAGAGAGAGAGAAACGGAGAGAAGGGGGAGGGTATGTTTACCGTGATATGCCGAAAGGTGATCGATAGAGACAGCGAATGAGCGCGGAAAACGACGCGGAGAACGAACAGTCTACCCACCCCACTCAGCCCTAACTTGACTTGCTGAGAGTGAAATCAGGAGAAGGGGGGGGGGGAGAGAATGAAGCAAATCAATGAACAACGACAGGCCATCGCCTGAGCGAGCGGTCCACCTCTGCCCCGGCAAGCCCACCCGGGGGGGGGGGGGGGGTCAGGTCAGGTGCTATGGGCGCCATCACCCAGGACCAGGATGGGCTTCATGGCCGTCAACGACACCCTCTGGCCAATGCCCCTCTGCCGGGGTCAGAAAGAGAGGACTCACGAGATTGGTGCCCGTCTTCTAAGGCGGGGTTAGGATGGACATCCGCCACCCTCCGGCCGGCACCGCTGTCCTGCGGCTGTGCCCCGCAGGCGCACATCCTCCTGGGCACGTGTCGACGTGCCGACGGCCGTCCTGGCGCTCTCCTGGTCGGGTCCTTGCAGTAGGTCCTGGTAGGTCCGCGTATCACGGCGGTGACGGTCGCACTGGGCAGTGCGGACATCGATCATGTCGCGAGGTTCGTTGCCATGCCATAACGCGCCCCGCCGCGCCCCGCCCCACCCCACCCCTGGGGTGTTCCACCCGCTCACCCGCGCCGCACTGGTGACTCTATAAGGAGAGGGCACCGCAGGGCACTTTGATCGACGACGTTGTAGTAGTCGGACGATTATGGCCGCTCCGGGCACAGAGAAAAAGCAAGCTCCACTTCTGCAACAATTTGTAACTCATTAGGAAACGAGTAAAACTGGTCGCGTGGTGCCCGTAATCCTTCATTAGTCACCCCCCCCTC